CGAGTTTGCGACCTGTATGCCTACGGACTGGTACAACATATACCTTACAAGTCCTATACGGCCAAAATCCATCACACAACAACTTTCGCGGATTATTGGTTTCCCTTCGCGGACCCATCGCGGACACTCTATTTCACATGTTAAAAACCGAACCCTAAACCCTAAACCCTAGATCAATGCTCATGTACATGTAAATGTACATATGAATATACATGGTCATAGACTTATACCGTATGCTTAGGTTCTCAGTCATCTCAGATGCCCATTTCTAGGTAGCTGTATGTTGTCAGTGAGTACTTGCCTAGGTCGGTCGTAAGTCTTTGAGTCGGTCGGTAGGCACCTGGCAAGCTAGCTCGCTAGCTCGCTAGCCAGCTAGATCTGCACGACGAGTGCGAGCATGTACGCATGCGTTTCCGACTCACTGCCCTGCCTTGACTGGTTGATGTCGGAGGCGCCCATGTCGTATTTCTGCTGCTGCCGTTGGGCACGCCAGGCGAGGTCCATGGCAGCCTGTATGTCACTTCCACGCGTCCACTGGCGCGCACAGTGTCCTGTCGCTGCGAGCATGACAAGACACTGGCGAACCTCCAAATGTCTTTGCTGAACCGGTGACAAGGAGGCATTCACCTTTCGGCGATGCAGTCGAGCTGTCTGGGGATACGCGCGAGCCCGATCTCTGGGAGCTCGGACGAAAAGGAGGTCAGCTCCATGCCGCGCGACCTGCACCGCCACGCGGCAAAGCTCCTCGCATCCCAGCAAGCGAAGGTTTCTTCCCGAGCATCTGCGTTTCCTGAGTTTTTTACACTCAGAGCATGCGCAGGTAACGGATGGCATCCTTGAGGTGGAAAAAGAAGCGTGGGTCAACTCTTTCCAGCCGGGCCTTGGCTGGGTGTGCAGAAGGCACAAGCACGGCCAGAACATGTGCATTGAAGTAGCTTTTCTTCAGCAATGGATCGGCTGAAAAACCTCAGGTCAATGCAATGTAGGCCTCAGAAATCTCTCACTTCCCAATAGAAACTTCCAAAGTGAAGCAGCTTGAGGGTACCACACCGATGTCGTCGATGGCATCAACATCGCCCGAAAGCTCGTTAGAGTCTTCCTGCCGCCGGAAGAAGCGGAAGACTGCAGAGACTTGACTCGATCCAAAACCAATTAATTCGGCTGAGTCCCCCAAACTTCGTCGACATTTCATGTGCAAAATCTCGTGAAAAGGCAAGAATGTTGCACATGTTCATCGCCGCCTCCTCGCTTGAAGAAGTTGCCGCCTCACCTGAACGAAGAAGCGGGTTCTCAAGGTTTGGTGACGTCCGCTTGTGCGGACCATCAGGCCTGTGTCTTGCCAGGGTGCCCCAGTGTCCCAGCCAGCAGCTCTTGCCAACGAAACTGCCTAACCGACATGCATGACTGCGACGTGGATCGCAGGATAGCAGGTGCGGTGACCACGGCAAGAGGACATTCAGGCCACGAGGTGTCCAAGCCTCTGATGCATCCCATGACAACAGTGCTTCCTTCGCCCCTGGAAGCCTGCCAATGCATCTGCATCCAGCACCACCATCATCAAATTCGCAATAGTAACATTGTCAGGAGTAACAGTACCAGTCGCATGGCAGTGGCAGTAGCAGTAGCAGTAGTGGTAGTCATAGTGGCAGTGGCGGTGGTAGTAGCAGTAGTAGTAGTAGTAGTAGTAGTAGTAGTAGTAGTAGTAGTATGGTAGTGGTAGTGTCCTCTACAGTGTGAATGTGGGACTCTCCCTTCTGCCGATTGCTCATGGCCACTTTCAATTTAGGAGCAAATTGAGCAAATGCCTGGAGCCACCCAACTCTAAGTAGCGGCGTGAGAGGTCTCATGCTCGATCTCTCTCAGGATTTAGGAGGCCTCAGGCTTGCTTCACAGGGTCCTGGGGGCTTTTCTGCTAAGTTCTGTCTCAGCAAACAGTAGGGGGGAACCAACTGGAGCGCACATTTAAGACTTGCGGCTACAACAAAGCGGGTGTCACGTTGGTGATTGCTTCCCGCCTGGGATGAACAACCAAGGCCCGCAGCCTGCCGTCCTCGATCCGGCCTGCGCAGTTTCTAGCTCCGCTTTGCACGAGACACGAAGCGTCGGAAAAGCTCTCGACCTCCCCGGATTGTAGAGAATCGAGACGTCCCGATGGTGAGCCTGGCAAAAACTCAGGAGCCCTCCCACAGCAAAATGCGGCGAAGAAAGGCCTCCTTCCGACACCTCAGGTCTGAATCAGGGTTGCAAGTTCATCTCTGCAATGGTGCCCTAAGTGCCAGGCGAGTCGACAGCAAAACGGAACGACACATCTGCATGGAGCTCAGATCAGACTGTACCGACAAGATTGCAGTTGTATCGCTCCCTGGCCAGACCCTAAACGATCTAAACGCCTTAAACCTTAAACGCCTTAAACCCTGAAGCCGAGCTCCCGTTTCGAGACTCTGCCGCTGGCTCAGTGTTTGGACCCTGTCTGCCGGAGACTGTTGTTGGGCGGACGGTGGATGCTTGGCATGTGGCATCAGCTGAAGCCAGACAGCGAGCGAATCAGTTCCATACGTGGCACCAAGTTGCCAACGCTGTAGCAATTATCGTGGTCACAAGTGGCTTTCCAAGGTTCTTTCGCTATTCTCTCTTGTCCTTTGCAAATAGCTTCATTTTCCCGTGCTCTTCTGCTACAGCAGATGCACATGAAGGGCTTGCGACGTGCAGCAGGTCAATGTTCGTTAACTCAGATGGCAGGAATGCCATCTTGCCAAAGCTACGAAAAGCGCACCTGGCCAGAAGCTGTCCGCTTATCTCAAAAAGGACTTTCGGCACAGAGCTTGACATCCATGCCCGCAGCAAGTGCGGCCAGCTCTTTGGGTAGCTGTGGAAGGCCTGAAGTGCGAAATTCAGAGCTTGTGCAGCAATGGGCTGAGTATCGCAGAGTGCTGACGAGTGCCCAAGGCCCAAGCCAGATGACTTGCTTCCCGCAGCTTCCGTCTCCGTACCCCCCATACCGCCCATTGCCAGGATAGACCTGGACCACAAATCCACTAATCCAGGCTACGATGGTCTTTAGTCTTTCTAAGTGAGGAGTTGCCGACTCCGCCCAGGCTGTGAGCCTCAAGATCGCTTCTGCTTGCGCTTCACCTTTCGCGATGACGGCGCGGATCTCCTCCTTGGGCGGTGCTTCAGTGCTTGGAGCCAGATCCAGCGTAGGCAATGTCTGAAGTCCGAAGTCCAGGCCCTCGGCCGTTTTGGCAATCTCAGCTGCCGTCTGTCCCGCAAGATTTTTGATCGAGAGATCCGCCCCTGCGGCAACTATGGCTTCCACTACCTGCAGAGAAGCGAGTCAATGTGCTGTACCACGGTGGCGGGAGCCGAGGAATGGATAGTGGCCTTTTGATGGCCTTCACGGGCAGCGATCATGACAGCTGTGTTGCCGTGCTCGTCCACTACCTGCGACAGCGGAGCAGTTCAGAATTGCAATGCCTCACACTGAACGTCTTTAGAACAAATCCTTTCACACTCTGAGGCTGCCGCATCCAGCTGAGGCTGCGAACAAGAAGTTTCGAGCGCACGGACCACCACATCGTGCTGCCCTCGCGCACTCAGGGCCGGGGGTTCACAATGATCTGACCCTCAGGCTCACACCATGACGTGCCGCAATCATCAGAGCAGTCCGCTGCCAAGAAGCACCTGTCACCGTGACGACAGGCATATTTTGGAATGGTTGCAGGCTTCTTAAGTAAGAAGCGATGGATGCTCCAAAGTCGTTTAAGCTCTGCACATCCCTGGGGCATGTCTGCTCTTGATTCGACTGTTTCCATCTTGAAAGACCGATAGAGCTTGTAATTGACTGTCGACAATTGACTTTTGCTGCTGGAGTCATGACGATGGCTACAGTGGATAAGGCTCAGATAGCGCTTGAGCCAATGCTTGCTCATGCAAGCGACAACGGTCATAGTGGCCACTGACACTTCGGCTTTCAACAGTACTGCATACTGCTTGCCGCCTGCACTGGAGGCTTCTGTTCCGGTCAATGCTATCGCAAACATCTCCCGGCCTGTGAGACGTTAAATCAGGAGCAGGCTCCTGTCAAGATGGAGCTCCTGAGATGCATGTCTGAATGAGGCATGGGATGCCGCGCAAAGCATCGCACTGGAGGCACCCAAGCGATCATGACCTTTGCGGGAGCCGGAAAATGTTCGCCGACATGTTAAGCGGCAACTGCGATCTTTCTCGTCCTCATGGCTTGGTCCAGCATATTTCGAAATGCATCCTCCACCGGTTCGTCATCCAAATCATTTAGCAGAACAACATGTTTTTCTTGCTCTGGAGGCTCGAAATCACGTGCCATGCGGCTGCCCAGGGCTGTGTCAACGACGTTGTCCCTTTCGCGCAGACGACGCATCCGCGAGTTCTCAGCTGCCTGAACCCAAACGAAAACCAGATCTGGATGAGCTCGACGTATAAGATCTCTGTGTCGTCGCTTAAACGTTGCCTGTGCAATCGCAATCGGTCTGCGAAGGCGGCCTTCTTTCGCAGCTAGCTCGACTTCGGTGGCCTTAACTTGGAAAATGCAGCGCGAGATTTCTTCTGCAAATCGATCGCGCTGCTCATCCGTGAATCCATGCCCATTCGCAAGAGATTCCTTCAGATCTTCCGGCAACCAGCTATCACCATCATGAAAGTCGTATCCAAAATCTTGATGCAGGACTTCTCCACAGTGCGTCTTTCCCACACCAGGCAAGCCAAAAAAGAAGAGGTTTGGAGCACCACCACTTTCGGGTTCTTGCGCTGCCAACATGGAAGTGGGGAGCTAAGAGAACAACACCCTCGACACCTTCGGATAGCTGATGACAGGCTGAAAATACTGCGTGCTCACTGCTGCAACTCGATCACAATTACACGGACTCAAACTTGAGCAAGTGCAAAACTACATCGAATCGCTTGCAACCCGAGACTAGGTCTACAATTTTGCGACAGGGCACAGGTGCACCAGGGCCTTGTTTTGTTCACCCGTCACAGCACGAGCCCCCTTCAGGGCGCAAGCGGGAAGGTGATCCTTTCGGATCGGACACGGGCACGGCACGGCACGGCGGTGCAAGAAGCAGAAAGCTGCTGATCGTAGTGATCGCACCAGATGATCTGCCTGGACCGTGCTCAGTTGTAAAGTCTCATCACTTGGCGGATGGGATCCCGACCTGACAAACGTGCCAGACTCATGGCAAGGCAGCATGTAGAAGATCCAACCCTTCCAAGGCTGCGACAAACAGGACAGCAGTTGGATCTTCTCTGGATTTCCGGCAGGCACGCTGCACAGACTCGATGCCTCATTGCCACGGGAACAACAGCAATGCATGTAGGTTTGAAGATGGGACGTTCGAAGCCGCTCCTACAGCAAGACCTTGTACATGCTGCCAAGGTTGTTGTTTCCACAGTTTCAAAAGGCCAGCCCATAGCTATCAATCGCCTATACCGATTCCGTCTGGCTTTTCCCAAAGACATTTGAGGATTGAACACCGACATTATCAGCGAATTCCCCCTTTAGGGCATCCTCTTCTGAAGAACCCCCAGCGATGAGCAGGTCTCTGTTAATGGCACTGCTCACAAAACAACTGCTGACCCCGAATCTGCAACGAATGACTGCGATGCACGACTAAGCTCGTCACTCCTACCATCAGACTAACAGCACACCAATTGAAGCGAGACGTAACGGTGCTGGGTGCGAGCCTTGGTGCGCAACAGGCAGTACTGCTCGTTTCTAGCAGCCAAAGGAGAACACCCCGGCGACCTCACGACAGTCACAGCATGCCGCCGGGATGCCCGCAGTCCAGAGCTGCGTTTGGCCAGTTCAACATGCACACGGGACCTGCAGCAGAGACTCTGAGCAACAAAGCCAAGGAAACGGATCCGGACTTTTTTGCCAAACAGTGAGCAAGAATTGAAACATTCAGCGAGACCAGAGGCGTCCCAAGAGGCAAGTTGGTATTCCCGCAGCAGATGCCGGCTCGGCAGTAGACGGTGCTGGGATTTCGCTCGCCCTTGGAATCTGCAAGTGGTCCAAGCTTAAACATCTTAAACCTTAACACGTTGCCCCCTTGCGGCTTGCTTGGGCTTTAGGCTTCTGGGAAAATGGGCTTAGTTCGGAGCTTGCTGGAGTCAAAAAGGGCGAAGGAAAGACGATCGAGTTTTGCATGAAACGGTAAGTCTTGATTCTTCTTGTGATAATTTTGGGGGTCTGAGAAAAGGGTCTCAACAAAATTGGTTCTTATCGTGACAGCCTGGTGCGCTGGCGCATCACTTAGAGTGGGCTTGAATTATCAGGGGGCTTAGCAAGCAGGCTGCAAGTTGGGTTGTCGTACTAGTAACTTCGCTTTTGACCAGTTTGCTGTGTCCCCGTACCCTAAATCAGAAAAGCTGAACTACATTCATCAGATAAGCACCGACTGAAAGACCCCAGGAGGATATTTGTAAACCCACTTGCGACTACACGTGACTACCCAGAAGCCCCGAAACCCTAGACTCCTAGGCAAATCACATAAAACATATAATCCTCCATGCTAAAGCCCTCGGCACTGAAACATAGCACCAAACTCTCATCCCGACGACAGCCATAAACCCCATCAAGGGACTTAGAAAGAACTGGGCTGATAGCACTTAAAAGCTCGCGAGACCTACAAAATCAGCCACCTGATCTTTTCAGCATTCCATAAGCACGTGACCCCTAAGCCCTAAACCGCAAGAGTTGTGGGGCAGCCCCAACACCCTAAACCTGAACCCGCTGCTGCACATATAGCCCGAGAATTCACAATTATGAAAGGGAGCTGAGGTGAAGCGCCACACCTATCAACCTGAAATCTGGGGACCTGATTCCGTCAAACCCGAAACTCCAAAAGACCCAAATTCCTCACCCCGAGAGCCCCAAACCCGACATTCCAAACTCCGAAGACCCAACAACCCTCACGCAGCCCTTATTAGGAGCCTGCTTAAGAAGAACTCTTAAAGGAACCCCACGCCTCGATGCTTAAGGGAGCTCTAGGCCGAGAAGGCGAGCTCCAAGAAGGACGAGCCCCGGTGAAGAGTTTGACAAAGCTTGATAGTAACTTATCAGGCTTTTTCCTAGTTCTTTGAACGGGTTAACCGATGATACATATAGACATGGTAGGTGTAATTGTCACTGCCGTCACTGGTGTTGCTGTTGTTGTTCTTTGGGTTTGGTTGCTTGTTTTAGGCCTTCGCTACAGGAATTTGTGAGTTTGGTTTGGGGGAGCTGCGGTTGAAGACTGCCCCGTCCCTCCCCTTCCCTCCCCTCCCCTCCCCAGATTGAGGGGGGGTTTGGAAAGCTACAAGATTCTGACAAGAGAGAGGATTTTGGGTTCAGGCCCCCGGCAATGCTTTGGAATTAAGTCAAGGGGGTCATCCTGCTCTCATCCGACATGTGCTTGCAAGCATTAGCTCGAAGCCTTCGTTGACGTTGAAAAGGTCGAGATTCAGATGAGAGGCGAATGGCCTCTAAGCCATGCGCCCAGCGCAGGAGGGGCACTGGGCGGGTGCGGCAGGCGTTCCAGCAAAACCTCCGAGACTGGCCGAGTGCTCGGTCAACAACGCTAGCCGCTAGCCGCTAGCACAAAACTTAGAGGCTGATGGTCTTCTCGTCTCACATTGCACTCAGCAGCAGATCCTTGCCTGCAGCAGCGATGGCGAATCTACAGACAATGGAGGCTCTCTTGCCTCGCACAGGGGAATGGGTTCTTGTAGCAGACTGGGCTTGAGCGGACCACGAGCCGCAAACCTCAGGCGGATCGAGTGGTGGTAGAGGCGGATATCCAAGCAACTCTCCGCACTCGGACCTGAGTCTGCGAGCAACCATGCGGTCCTTTGGCACGAAGACTTCGAATACAAACGTTGGACCGGCCGAGAGACCGGAGTTGATGTAAAAAGGGACGGCAACCACCGAACACTGCCTTCACAATGAAGTACACAAGAAAAGACACCTGAACAGATGTGCTGACAATCGCTGCGTACCAGTCGGACGAAGAAACAACGTCAAACTTTATGTCAAGCTTCGCTGACCACGGCAGGCAGCAACCTGAGTCCTTCTTCTCCGGCACCGAGGATGATATTTCCCATGACAGGCGCCGCACAACTTCATCTACCCAGGATTTGCAGTTGGTGAAGGGTGCATAATGGTAAAGCTCGCGAGACCAGCTACATGACTGCTGGACGCGTGATGCTGCGCACCGTCCTGCAATCTACGACCAGCCTCATCTGGTGGAAGCATACAGTAAGCGTCATGGTGCGTAAGCGAAGCAGCCAGATGGCGACTGAGATTTCAAGCATCAGAACAGTTCACAAGGATTGTGCTAAACAAGGCACGATGTATGGCAGTCACAAGCTCAGCTCCCGCTAAACAGCAGCTGTGTTCTTCTATGCGACTACGTCTCAACAGCTTGAAGGTATATTATGCCTTGCAAAATCCTGCCCTTCTTCAGCTCTTCCAGCAGCTGCTGAAGATGAGCAGATTTGTGGTTCTGTACACGGGCGCACCACAGACTCCTAATGAGCAAGTGAAGCATTCCAAACAAGAGAAGTAGTCGTCAGCCTGCTGATGCTGCGCAAACAGTTGCTTCACGTGCGGATGGAAGTCACGATTTGCAAGTGCATCGTTGAATTACCAGTGCATGCCACCTACCCGTCACAGCATCACTAACCCAGGAAGGAGCTCACCATCTGAGCAAGAACGGCTTGACAGAATGGCTTCTAGAAGAGTGCGAATGGCCTGAAGTAGTCATCGTGGCCACCGAAAAGCGAGTCCCCCCAGCGTCCAGCCGAGCCAAGTCCTTCGGCTGCAAGCCGTCACCCACGCTCAGAACTGAGAAACTGCTGAGGCAAACGCCGAGACCGGGATAGACGTCGCCGCGCCCTGACCCTGCAAGGCTGAACATTGCTGCCGTGCATGATCAGCGCATCTGTGGCCCAAGCTGCTGCCCAAGCTATTATAGCCCAGCCTGCACACGGCTCTGACTTTCAGGGTCTGTCCTTGTCTTCCGCCCCCCCGGCTCGGCCCAATGAATGCACTCACAGTGCCATGGCCCTTGTGGCAGAGCTCGTCGAGGACGTTTGGGAAGAACGACCCGCAGGATGCCGTCTGTGTACCTCACAGCATCGAGCGCATCAAATGTGAGGGCCTCATACATGACTTCTTTTGACACAGAAACGCGGGGCGAACGATGCATCGATACTCTCCACATCGACCTTGCATCACCGGTCTTCTTCTACTTCGCCATAGCACGCTCTCGGCTTGGCCGAGACAAGCACATCGTGAGGGAGCCGGAAGGCTTCAGCGAAACGACCATATTGCGCCTGATAGACAAATAATGGAAATGCACAAAGCACAGCGCAACATCCTGGTCTGCCTGCCCAAGCTCGAGGTATGCATCTGCAGCCACCTGCTGGTGCAGTCGGCAGGAATCGTGAACAGCCCGGCCATGGCAGGAACACACGATCCGACATGGCTTCTGCATGCTTCTGTGACATCAGCTGTTGGCTCAAAACTTCATCCTGACCTTGTATGTATTTGATCTCAAGAAACTGTTTACTCGTGAGAAACAGTTGCTGCCAACACTGGAACTATTTCTATTCTAGTCTAGAAGTACACTTACGATGGGGGCCCGCACGTCAGGAAGGCACTTTGCCAGAACCTCGAACTTCTCCGGCGACCGTTCGGCCTAGGCACCATGAACAAGAAGTACAAGCGAATTTCTTTGAGGCATGCACGCCGGCGGCACGATTTTCTGGTGAATTTCTGCATGACGTGTGGTTGGCTCCTGTTGTGCGCGGATAGTTTCATCATGAAGGCATGTATACGACTGCCAGCTCTCAGGCCACGACGGTTTCACGAATCTTCTTTGCTATCCTGCGCGAAGACTTGGAAGCACCATATCACTGGCATGACTGCGCGTCCGGCGTCTGCACATAAAGGGACACTCCTTTCTCTGAAGAAGCACCGATCGTTGATCAGTGCAGTTTAAGTTTGATTGTGAGTGCGTGCGTGTTAGAGTTGCAAGCCAACCTGGCTACGACAAGAGCTCCAGACGCTGTATGTATCAGAGCAAATGAAGGAAACTGTAGCACTGAAGCTCGGGACTCAATCTCAAGTACTGTGGTTTAAGAGAATATGCCGGCTTCGGCTTACTCCTGACGGCTGCGCCACCACGCTAGTTCTGCAGAGGCTAATGCATGCTAATGCCACATCTTCTCCTAGCAGGCGTAATCGAGGAGGCCTTCTGCGCATCTTGTCTTCTTCCTTTTGTGTCCTCGGCGAAACCCAAGGTATCAGTCACTCCCAGAAACAAGATGTCCGGGTCTAAGGTCAGCTCGGCAGTCGGAGGCCTTCAACTTTGAGCGTGGTGGCATCATGGCTCAGCTCCAACTGGTCAGGGAAGCGACGGGGCTCGATGGCACCAGCTACCAAACCCTCCACGATCTCCAGCTCTCAAGGACAAGACTCTGCCGGCACAGTTCTCTAAAGCATCTGGCAGTGCTGCACATGGGCAAACGACTGCACCAGGCTTCGGCATGGACTCCTAGGTCCTAGCGCAGGAGTTCGCCTTGAGGTCATCTGGGCACAAACCTGCAAAAGATGGGCGACAGAAAACAAAAAACATCAGAGCCTCTTATCTTCCACATCGTTCCGCGGAGCAGTCGATGCAACAAGCCTGGAGCCGTTGCGGAGAGGACGTACTGGCCGTCTTCCTGTGACTGTGGCGGAGCGTGGCAGAGCTACTGGAAGCCAATGCCAGTGTCCGTGAGCCTCGCGGGCATGAAACCGCAAAGGCAGTCGAACCTGTGCGATAACTGAGTGGAAGATCGAATTCTGCTTGACAACAGCCAGCCTGCTTCCACATATCTTGGTCAGGTGGAGGCGGCTCCAACACTGACATCGCAACTGTTCCCGGCTTTGAGACCTCCGGGCAGACCTCTGGCGCTGCCTGCGAGGACTGATAATCAGCTCCGCCAACAGCTTGCAGACGAAAAGGCTTCTTCCACTGACCGACTGAAGCGTTTCAGCTACGTCTCGCGAGCAGCTCGAAAGCTCGCACGTGCCAGGAAAGGGCTGCAAAACACGCCTGCTCGAAATGCTCTTGCTCCTTGCGCTGCCTCTCCTCACGGTGTAGCTGGCATACAGCAAGTGAACTGCTTGGACTGTCACTCAAATCACTCGACACTGCAGCATCCTTCGTCTCAAGACTTTTCAAATTGTCCTGTTGGGACTCGCAGAAATGCTGGCGATTATTCCTGCTTGTAAGGGCAGTGCTGGCCTCCAGCTTTCTATGCAGCGTTGCCAGTCGAGATTTTGCCGTGTCGACGTTCTGACAGGACATTCGCTCGCTGCCGTGGTCTTACATTTCCGAAGTCAAACTTCGAAGTACTCCCGGGATCACTGGGCGTGTCCTGAAGCAAGCCTTCGAGACCGGCAATCGTAGCCTCTGGCGTCGGCAACACAACAAGTACCAAGGAAAGCACCGCGGTCCAGCCTTGCGAAGGCTTCTGTCTTCCGGAGTCAGCTTAGACAGATTATCCAGCACCATCATGTCCTGGCTTCAACTGCATGGAACAGGACAGAATTGAAAGCATCGATCCTCCAGCAAATCCTCCCCGAAATTTCTCGCTTTCTTTCGTGCCTGAGGCAGCACTGACCCTGCCATACCCAGCCTACGCTGAACACACCGCACCGTGAACAAACGCCGCTGGTATTGGAGACCAAGCACAACCATTCTCAACTCCAAAGGGACACTGCGGCACATTGGTTTTGTAGACGGTGTACGTCAGACACACAAACGAAGGAAATGCGCAGCAAGGCCCGCATTGAGCTCCCCGCTTTGCTCCAAAACCAGCAGGCAGCTCTGTCATATATTGTTTGATTATTGTGTTTCTCGCCTGTCTCACCAGCCGCGGAACTGTCTGTTGTATTGTTTTGTTGGCATTTCATAAGGGGAAAGAAAATAACGAAATCCAAAACAACAACAAATCACTTGCCGGGAACCGGGCAAGGGAGACTGATTCGATAGGGAGGTATGGGGGGTTGTTGTTCGTGGATTCCGTGAACAACAACCCTCGCCACCCCGTAACGGGGGGGATGCGCGGGGGTGGGGTTGTTACTGGAGAACAACAAGAGGGGGGCGGGGGGAATAACAACAGGGAGGGGTTGTTCTTGGGACGACGACGACGACGACGACGACGACGACTACTACTACTACTACTACTACATTACTACTACTGTACTCTTGCTAGTACGGTTACTACTACTAATACACTACTACTGCCACTAGAAGACCTAGAAGGACGACTGCTACTACTACAACGAAGAAAGAGTGGCGTGGCATAAATGAAACCAGGGCGGGGGGGTGTGGGAACAAGAAGGGGGGGCAGGGGTATGGTTCCAGGATGTTCCAGGAAGTGAGGGAAACAATAAAGGGGGGCGGGTTGATTGTTGTTCGAAAAAGGGGAGAAGAAGGGGGGAACAACAGGGGGGCGGGGATTGTTGTTCGAAGAACACAAGGTCAAGAACAACAAGGGAGGGGGGGTCTTGTTCCCCAAACAGGAGAACAACAAACCCCCCCCACCCCTCTATCGAAGGGGTATGGGCCAAGGACAGCAGGGCATTCATGTCTGGTTTTGTCATTGGCCGTTTGTCGTTTGCGTTTTCAGACATTGCGTCGCCTGCAGACCAGACGGGTTATATAGCTTCGAACACTCGTGGCCCGCAGCACACTGAGCATGCTGAGGTCTTCTGATGCCGGCCTCCCCGACAGCCGCCAGTTCAGCACGCAGCTTTTCGGCTTGATTCGCCGGGACCTCCTTGACAGTGCATGGCAGTGCCCACTTCTGAACCCACAGCAGCGGCTTAGTCCGCGACATGCTTGGCGAGCATGGAAGTCGTTCGAGCAAGATCATGGACTTCCTTCAACCTGATTGAGAGGAAGCGGCACCGCCTGTTGTCAGGACATTGATTCTCAGCCGAGTGCATGTTTTCCTGATGCTCCTTGACCTTCTGGACCTGCCCAGCAACGGCTCCGGCACTGAATTGCACACAGCGACGCGTGAAGAAGCACGGGAAACCCTTTTCCAAGCGCTCTGCTTCGATTCATGAGCTTGCGCAGCTGCTTGCTTGCGCTTGAATTGCTGGACGTTGTGAAAGACCACCGACGTTTCGTCACCTATCGACCTCTTTGGGCTGGATGCAAAGCTCGTCTAGGACGAGAATGCAGACTTCAATCATTGAGATAACATGACTCGACAAACAACCTCTCAAACACACTTCTGCCTACATCTTAGCCACCACGGCACGATCAGCTTGCAGCAAGCTTAGACACAACCTTGACGCCCTGTGTCAGGACATAGTAAAACAAATGTATGTACAGATGTAGCCCAACAGCCAACACATCCACCTCTAGCAGACTTCCGCTTCAAGCAGCGTTCTTTGCATCTGCCTCCGGCGATCAGAATGCTGCGCCATTACGAAGAAGCTTCCTCATCACTCACCATGTGCTCATGCAGTTCTGGCTGCGAGAAGTCAACACGCAGGCCCTCCGAAAGCTTTGTCAAGGTGAGGACTACTAAGAGGAACAGCGCGGCGGAGGCCAAGACCACCAGACCTACCAACCAAGCGAAATGGGTGCCCTTCAGCACTGTGCCGGGAAATAGCTGCTTTCCCAGAAGATCCCGAGAAGCTGCAGAAGGTGATAAGATCATTGACACGGCCTTGAATGCTTTGGCTGCATCCATGTGCAGACGTCTCAGTTCGGACTCATTCCACTCATGTGGCTCGCCGACTACGTCCGCATACCAGTCCGGCAAGTACATGTCCGTTGGAAAAAAATAAAATTCTGCAGGCAGGGCATAGTCTCCCAATGCGTTCTGGTACATCTCACTCTGAGGGTACTGTGGCAGATTGTTCCAATAATATGGATACTGGGGTACGAATGTACGAAAATGGGCAAGCTGCTTCTTCATGGGACCCAAACCGGCCCATTCTGCAGCAAGGTACCCCAAAGCTGCAGCGGAATAGATGGGGTTGTACAATTGCGCCATAGCAGCCATCATTAAGTTCCCCCCAGGAAATGACGTCGCTGACAGTGTGCGTTGTGCATCGTCAAAGGATCCACCAAGTCCCCCAAAAGTTACATAATTTATCTGCAGCCTCGAACCACCATGATGCTGCTGCTTCTTCGCAATCATGTATGCCGTCCGGGAGAATGTGTCACACGATGATCCGCAACCGCCGTCAGAAACAAAAACGATGTTTGTGAATGGATTCTCTACCCCTCTAAATGCATCAACAAACTTTTGGGTAAATGCCATAACACAGTCCTCGATGCGAAAGAACTCTGTCAGCTTAACGTTAGGCTTGCCGCCCCGTCGTGCCGTTCTCGTAGACTTGAATGGATCAAATGGGGTGCCATTTGCCGCATAGCCGTCAAGATATAGCGAGAAAGGATTTCCGAAACTCTCAGCTGATGCAGTCAGGATCTCAAGCGTCCCGCGCAAGCTGTCCTCATCAACCTCCCCCGTGTCCAAGGAATCGATAGCAGACTGAATTTGCAGCACGTCATCCATGTCCAAAACATCCATCTCCATGCAGGCCTTGGTGATTTTCTGCAGAACAGACTTCATAGCTGCTTGCTCCTCTGGAGTCATCTGCTTCAAGCGCTGCTGAATGGCCGTGTCATCGTCCATGAAGGCTGCTAGGGGAGTTGTGTCGACCTCCCTCCAAGCCTTGTACAGAGACCCCACAGGCCTGTCGTATGTGTTGCAGACCTGCTGGAACTCCAGGAACGGGTAAAGTGCCCTCACGAGCAAATAGGCAAGATCCACGAAACCACCAGCATTTCCGGCGACGTCAATCAACAAGCGATCCACGCCCCTTTCTTTTGCAGTGTACACCAGCTCCTTCCAGAAGCTAACAAACTCCATCTTGGCATCGTAGCCTACAGATCCGGTTGAGCTTACGTAGAGGCGGCTGAGCTTGAACACTGCGAAGACTTTGCCACCCTCGTCTTCTTGAAACTCGAAGTAGCCATAGGAGGCCCCGAGCGGACTGGCAGCAGGATTTAATAGCCAGCGACGTGGAGGCAAAGCCTCAGTCTCTACACTATGTCAACTTCAGCACTTGGAACAATAAGGGACCACGAGGTAGCTCAGTGCCCCGCAAGGAGGCTGACAGCCTGACCTGCGCGCTCCCTGTGAGATTGCAGGATAAGGCGGGTGGTGTTCGACTGCGCGAAAATCAGGCCACATCTGATCCATGAGTGCCTGAGACCCAGATGTCCAAGCACTCGCCGATGCGCCTGCAGCCGCTGCATGCGGTAGATCAAGCAGCTTGCAACAGCAAAGGCAACGGGCAAGACTAACCTATCGGAACTTTCCCTGCGCATCCGGCTCCGCCTCGGTGCCAGGGACGTCCTCCTCCTGGATCTGAAGCAGTGTGCGCAGCCCAGGATCCTCGACAGGTTTCGTCTGTCCTTCTTCTTCACTGCATCGTTATAACTTCCAGATCTGCCTGCTCTACCGCTCTATGGCCGGGCTAAAAGGGGAACCGACGTGCGAAGTTGGCAAATCGTCTCCTTTCTGAGAAGCTCGACCATGTCCGCATCTGCCGAATGTTTCATCACCTGCCATGCAGCCACCGTGCAAGAGAACGGAGCGGCGGTAGCTTGGGTGCTCGACATTCTCGGATCTGCGGCCGTCGGCATCTCTCGATGACCTTGCAAGCAGCAAAGCCAGCCGTGCAACCAGCACAGAAACTCAATTCTTCATGTGTCAACTTTGCACGGCTGAGTGCATGACAGTTGGGAGGCTGCCTGCATCCAAAACTAAAAGTTTGCATGATGAGATACATCATGCGAGTTTCGGATGCTTCTCGTGCCGACGTACACCAGTCTAGAAATACCTTCGGCAAGTCGGCGTGGTCTCAAGTATTGAGCACAGGAAGAGTTCCGATCCAGGCTCTGACTGCTCCGCACGACAGTCGACGGTACAATGCAACCTGCCTCTGCTGCGTGCTGAAACAACGCGCTGGAGTTGGTCAGGTGCGCCTGACAGCTTCAAGCCTTTCTGGCTTGCAGTGTTGGATGCGTGTGCCACCAACACATAAAACCCACTACTTACGACCACAGTCAGAGTGCCATCGGTCGGGTGTGCGAGGAGCGAGTGGGCTACAGGATGCTAGGATGATGGACGTGGTTGCTGTCATGGCGTGCACTCAGCAGACTGTGCCTCCAGAAACTTAACGGCACAAGCAGCATCGAAGAGCTTGCACCTCGTGAGCAAGCAAGACGTCAATCAAGAGTCCAGGGACTCAACCATGTCTTTCTCTGCCCCGCTTCAGGTCGGGCTTTGCCCAAACATGCGAACTTCAATAAGCCATCATAGTTTTGCTAACGTGGACAAGTCGGGTTTGAGCTCGAGTAAGCCTCGTGCAGGGCAGAAGAACGTTTTCTCGGCTGTAGCAAGAGCTCTCCATAGTTTCCACGATCTAGCACGGTTTGCGGGCTGCAACTCGCGCCATGCCTCGGGCCGTTGCTGTTTACGCGGGAAGCGAACACAACTTGGCAGACCGAGTCTCATTCATGCGCGATGCAGACCTGTCGGAGATGCCGTGTGTTTCTGTCCCAGGTACAAGTGCCAGGTTTGACGCCTTCCCGTTTTGGGGAAATGCCTCTTCCATTTCCTGTAAATTGGTTGACTTCAGCTTCGGACATGGAAGTGGCCCAAGGACCCGACGATGCCAAGTTCCTCGTCAGCCACAGCCATCTCCAACTCCATGTGCAAGCCTCACGTTGCGAACAGAGCCATTTCCGGCTGAGCGAAAAGATCGACTTTCAACTCCAAGCAATACTACTTGTTCTTTGGACAGCCACACAAGCGGAAACACTGACCTTTGTCGACTTGCGAAGTTGTGGCATGGGTCTTGGGTTGGGCTGCACATTTGTTGACTCTAGCGTTTTCATATCTTGGCTTCTGAAGCGCCCGAACTTGGGCACGGGCCGAGCCATCAGCAAATGTCACCTTGAACCAACAACAGAGCACCGAATTCAGCAGCCGGCATGGTCAACACTGTGAACGTCACGTTGACGGAGGGCTTCATTGACGACACATCGCCCACGTTGCTGCCCAACCTCGCTTGCCAACTCAGAATCGCATGCAACGGCACTGGGACGGGGGACCAGGCCATGCAATACCAATCCGCCCCAACTTGAAGAAGCTGTTTGCGCGCGGACCTGGGCGATGCAGTTTCCAGTCAAGCAAAGTACTGCAAAGAGCATTCCCAAAACCAACGCCCCACAGCATGGTACAGCTCGCCGGTGGACCGCACTCGGTCGGCTTTGCACATTTGTCCATGAGTTATTTGGGAAACGGCTTGCTGAACTCCCATTGAAACCCGACACCATCCATAGTTGAAGCATGCCTGAGCTTTCTGCAGCTCTTGTTGGAGCTGTGCCAACACATTATGTCCCGCTTGCAGTTTGCACGTCCTGCGATAACCCGAAGAGGGAAGCTCCTAGATATTCTCTGCATGTGAGACGCCTGGGCAGACAGAAGTGTAGATCATAAGGGAGCAGGCAGGTTACGGGGAAGGGATGGCCGGTTCTGTCATAGGCCTCTGTGCATGGTGTCTAAGAGACACAATCAAAAGTAAGCAGGCGCTTCCGAGACCAGCATAGGCCCCGGAAATCCCCAGAGACCAAATATGGTCGTGCTGCACGCACGACCGGACCCAAGGCTTTCACCCACGCTCTTGAAGCCATAGTTGAAGGCCGGATTCTCCAGCACGTGTAGCCGAAACCACCTGGGTTGCAAAACCCTCCGGCTTCAGCACCGAGATTGTGCAACTCGAACACATGGACTGGCACCTCATGGGTTGAAGCCCATCAATGCTGGCAATCTCGCCACCCTGTGACAGAAACCTCAGAGTCTGATGGCTCATTGATGTCAGCCATGCGCATCAACGTGCCGTATAGCCCTCCTCTGTTCGAGACCCAAGCTTGGGTACTGCGAAGCCGTTAACAACGACGGTGTCTCTTGCAGCTACCTGCGAAAGAGTCTGAGGCTTGGCCAGGAAAAAATAGCACCACTGTAACATGTCGACAACCCCACGGTGAGCCTGAATGCGCACGGCCTTCTGCGCACGGTCATCTTGCAACATAAAGATGAACTGGTTCAGTATGGAGTCGACCTGCGCGATTAAAAGCATGCGACAGCCAAAGCGCTGAAACCCGTTGGCAGCCTTGGTGCCGCCATTTCGCCAGTCGACGTGAGAATCTCGAAGCCTGCAACTCTCATTCTTGAGGCAGTGCAGTAGCATGAGCACCCGCAGCCTCGCAAAGATCGAATTGGCAGGCAGATACCAGTCAGTCAAGCCTGGTTTGCTCGGAAGTGATGCCTCGCAAGCTATGCAGATTGGTGCTTTGAAGGCTTCAAGAGACAAGCTGCTTACTTGCACCATCCTGAGCACATGGCTGCGAGCGCTCGCAGCTCGTCTACAAGGTCAACGCGGGCATCCTGAGAGCAGTTTCCCGCCCTCCTCTACCCTTGAGAACGTAAGGAAACCAGATCTCCGAACCCCAAGGCGAAAGTCGCCAGACTCAAGTTCATCAGGATTTCATAACAGTGATTCCGGACCTGGTTCCTTGAAGGATTGCATCACATTGCATCCCCTTGCCCTGGAGGGCGAAGCCAACTGTCGAAAGCGAGCACGACACTCTGCCCGGTCTGCCTCTGCCGATGCTCCACCTCCTCGTCATTGAATAGCTCTGATTCTCAAGGAGATTCTAAGCTGTCGGATCCTCGGGGCGTGCCGTAGATTCCGTAGTCAAAAGGCGGTGCCTAACACGCGGCCCAGGAAAAAACAAACTTTGCATGGCAACTTTGACCATGCCCATGACCGACCTGCACCTGATCCGAGGCTGCCGGGTCTGCACAGATGTACCGGAAAGCGTAGAACCTGAGTTCGGTCGAGCAAAGCCATGACTCCATGACTGCTCGACACTTCGGGACTAAGGCTAAAGCTGCTCGTAAAAGTCCGCGACGGCATGCAAAGACTGGTTCACCGCTGCGTATGGTGCGACGATCTGCAAAGCAAAGTGGGGAGACTGGTTGCACAACTCGCTTTTTTGAGTCCGGAAGTGCCTTCTCCAAGCAGCCGAGGCCTGGAATGGAATGAAGATGAATGAAGCAAAGTTGAACTTCTTGCATCGGTGCCGGAACGGGACCCAGAAACGTAGTCAAGCAAAATCATGCAAAAAAATGAAACATCTCAACCCCGCCTTCATGCAAGCTCAGGCTGTATGCGCCATCAAAATTGATGCTTTGCACAACGACAGACCTGAACTCAGGACACAATATATGTTCAACTGATTTCCAGGGCAACTTCGGGTCCGAGCTGGCGAAGAGAGTCTGGTCTGAAAACACAACCAGCCAAAGCCTCAACAGGACGCATCGCAGCACTCAGCGCAATGAGCCACAACTTTCCGGATCTTTCCGGTGGAGACCCGAGTTGGAATTCGAAGCTCCAGTCCGAAACATGTTGAGAACTGTTTTCTACACGCATGTGTTTAAAACAAACTTCTGAACATGAACTTACCCCGTTCGATGGCGTGGCCATGTGAAATGTGGCGGCCTGGACTCCGAGCCCTCCGAAGAACTACATGATGTGGTGCGAGAAACTATGAAAGTCTGTAGGCAAGATACAAACAGCTACAGCACTAGTAGCTGTGACTCTTACTCCCATCGTTTGGCGAACCTCCATCCAACAGCTGCGACAGAGCCTTGTAGTTTTGGTAGTTTCAACTCCTCAGTGTGAAACAGCCAGTTTTGCCCCGCTCCGCCGCTCCTCTCCTTTCGCCCACGTGCAAAGCCTGTCTTGACACCGACGGCCTTGTGGGCATACGCAGAGTATCCACACCAGCTTCGAACATTCTCCATCACAAGTTCGGACAGAAGCTTTGATTTCCGGTGTCCTGACTAGTGTGGAGTCCGGAGCATCCGAATGCATTAAGTTTCTGAAGGAATTGTGCAGTGGGGAAGCGTTGCTTTGACTTTCTGCGCAGCTTGCGCAAAATGATACAAGCATTGTTTCTAATCCTCAACACTGTGGGCTTGATCATAGCATGCGAAACAGATGGCTGCCGACGCTTACGGCTCGCCCGAGACCGTCCCTTCCCACACTTTGTCCGAAAGCTCGGTGGAATCCGTATTTGGATTTCCCAGTGCTGTCTATGCGTCTATCCATTGAGCGCAGACCAAGACCAGTGCAAACAGCACTTTCATGCTCTTCATGTTCCCCGCAGCCCACCCCTCCTCCTGCCCCTCCTTCCGTCGTCCCTTTTCCCGACCGGGCCAGGGCGCACGACAAGGGCGTTTACAGTTGGGCCTCGAATCTACGAAGATGAACCCCAACTGTGATCGCCATCGAAGGCACGGGGTTCAACTGCCACTGCAAGTTTTCGCACTGCATAGAATGGTAGTTGCTTGATCTTTCTAAGGCCTTCGTGCTGGTGTCACCACTACTCGTACCGTCGAATTGCCGCCAGGAGACTGAAGTGACCAGGTGCACCAGCAGCCATGAATGGCTAGGCCAACCCTGTTTTTGCACGCGACAGGCAGAAGTCAGACAAGGCAGCTGGCTTCCAAAACTGCAAGTTGTCAAGGCATGGGCTGCCACACGGGCCGCCGGCATTCCTCTCAAAGCTGCCTACCATCTGCCATGGCTCCAACTAATTCGGATGGGATGTTCACCTGTTCATTTCCTCAACAGGATGATACAACCGAGACGACTATGTGACGTCTGTGCTACACCGACTTCGACTGCGCGGACAAGAACTGTCACTGAAGTGGCTGAAGGACTCTGAAGGGTTGGGACAGGGACAACCTGCAGCCTGTCCTGTCAGCTACATGGTAACATGCGTACACGTACTCGTCACGTTTTGGCTGGCAGGACGGCAGGGATGCAACTTGGAAGCCGCTCCGTCAGACAACCATTGCCATTGCTTGTGGCGCACCCTTGTGCGCCATGGACATAACGGAAGGAATGCGAAAGAAAGGTTCGTGCCTTCAATGTTGCGGCCACCTGAGACTTCGTCCTCTTCAGAGGTGGCTCGCTGTCTTCGTCCTCTTCGGTCGGTTTGGAGACCTCCAAGCAGTTTGTGGCCGACAGGCACGGGTAAAGACAAGTTCGCCCATGTTAGGTCTTTTCAACTGCCCGAAGGCAGTACTTCATAACGATTGCCTGAAGCTATCACTGAATAGATACACCCCCGTCTTGTCCACGTTCCTATCTGTTGAGCTGGCATTGTCAAGAGCCCTTTTTTGAGACATCTCGTGGCATGATCATTATGTGCACAGTCTCATCTCATGGAATTTCTCCATCCTATTTATGCCGGTGAGATGCAGAACTCCGGTGTCAGGATGCGCAATGATTGGCATGCTTGGATCTTCAGGGGTGTACACGAAGTCTGTTGCTCTGGAAACGAATGTGTGTGGAAGAGCGATGACCTTGATTCCACCACAGATGCCAACCCGGTTTTCAAGGTTGGCTCCAGTCCATTGGCAGCCTTTGCGATCCAGTGCAAGGTTGAGAAGTACCTGGCAAGACTGCTTGTCCGTCGGGACAGACAACAGGTCATCTTCAAACAGCCTGAGCACCCGTTCAGTGTATCTGTACATGATGAAGCCAACATTCAATACGAAGCCCCATTTGTCTGCAATTTTTTTCGGATCCCACTCCGTGCTGGATGATGCTATGATGTCGGCATCCGGATACTGCTGCAAAACTTGCGATAAGTTCGAATCAGGGCTGCGTAGCCAGAGTGCATCAACGTCAAGGTGCAGCACCGACTTCTTCTGACTTAGCGTATCCCAAAGCATCTTGTGGTAGGTCTGAATGTAGTTGCTCCTCGGGAAGCCAGAAGCGGCAGAATGCTCACTTCGAATCATCTGCCTGTGTCCGGTGTGTGGCTGGACAAGCTTCATCTCGCCACCGGCCGAAATGGATACATCCATGTGTGTCGCTTCGATGGCACTGTGGTCGAGAACATTGGTGACACTCATACTGTCCACTTTATTGCCTAAGTTCTGTCGCCAAAGCTCAGCTTCAGCACAAGATGCATCATCCATGCAACCAACTTGAAGGGAATGCGAAGACGCGCTTTTCTCGAACCATTGAAACCAGCACTTTGCCATGGGCAAGTAGTGCCCATCAAAGACCAGAAAATTGGTCCATCGGTCGATTTCAGCACTGCATATGGGCAGGAATGGCAGGAGCTTCAAGAACATGGCGGCATCAAACAAACGAAGAGTGGGTTAGATGGACAACACATTGGTAGCGACAGCATCCTGAGCCAACATGTCACATCACAAAAGTCACTCAAACGTGTCGCCTGCAAGCGATCCAGGCGACTTACAGCCGCGCAGGCATCGCCTCGCTGTCCATCTCCTGGTCCGTGTGGCTCACAGTGGACTCATCTGCTTCCGCTTCGATCTCGCCCTTGACAATGCAACTTCCCAAAAGACATTCTTTACGGATCACATACATGGCCGACGCAATTCTGCGACTGCTCGCGCTTTGTGCGAACGAGGAGGGCCGCGTCCTTGTAACAGAAGGGATCGCCCGACCCCGCAACCACGCTCTCTCCTTCTCGAGGCCACTCTCGCTCTCCCTCTCTCTCTACCGGGACGGAGGAGCTCTCTCTCTCTCTGCGGTCTGAGGAAGGGGTCTCTTCTTCCACACAGCCAAGAGAGCCGAGCGGACGCACTGCCCCCCCGCGCTCGTAAGCGCCCTGGTCCCCCTTGTCTTTGTGTAGATTATTGAAAGATGAGGCCTGCTGTTTTGCAACCTGAAATCGCCCTGGAGTAACACTATCACAACCACCCCCTGGCCGCATCTTTCCAAAGGTGGAAATCAGTTCTGTGCTGCAAACTCGTACTTTGTCATTGGCTTGCAGCTCGTATCGGTTCTGTGCGGCTGTGCAGCATGCAGACAAGAGGTCTCTCTCTGTCCCTCTCTCCTTGCATAGTCAGACCGGTGCTCCTCCGCAACCCGGCGCAGTTGTCCCACCAGCATCCAGCGTCCGGCGACGCCAGTCAGGTCACCCTCCTGGCAGAGTGCAGAGACAAGCTGGCACGGCTACATGCGACGCTGTACCTCCGGCGGAGCTTCAAGGACTTCCCGCACCTCGTCTGGAATGCTAGAATGGCTAGAACGAAAGCGCACAGAAGGCCTCGAGATGGTGAGTTCAGCACAACTTCCTGAAGCTTACTGTAGGCTGCCTCGAGGGCGACCTGACGCATGAATTCACATCTGCACTCGGACAAGGATTCCTGAGTCTCTCTCTTCCGTGAGCTCAGCAACATGCAGTGGGGTCTCGCGTCAGTGACTTTCCAAACTCCTCGCGGTGACTTCCGCGAGGCTTTGGGGCACAGTAACGATGTGATGCTTTGTGTCCCGTCCAGCTGGGCTTCGCAGCACGTCTTCATTAGCTCATCGATTCGCACCTTGTCATGTCCAATTCATGCAAGCTGACAGTCAATACTGGCATCTGTAAACACAACAACCAACTTCCCTCGGTCAGCCTTGCTCACCATCTCTTGCCAGCATGTCCCATGTTCGCACACCCAACGAACTACAGTAGTTGGGATATTTTTGGTCGTCAACAGGACCATTGCACGGCAGCACGGCTATGATGGCAAGAAAGCACGAGACGACCCGTCAACATGGTCGAAACATCTGCCCAGCAGCAAACGAAAGCGGTTTCCAATGCAGGATGATGCAGGAGCTGCAGGGCATGGTTCCGGCATGAAGCAAGCCATGCAAGAAGCGATTGTTCTCCTGATAGAAACGCAGAACATGATGCAGGAAGGGTTCCCAACCTAACGAAAGCTATCAGCTCGCAGCCACAGTTTCTTTCGCCGGAGCGGAAATGGGCGTCAGTGTTGCATATAGTCAATGCAACCACCACAATTGCAGCAAGTAAAGAGTGCTGATGACAGCAGTGTCTACCATGCAGGCCGCGGCCGTGCGGCCTGACCACCTGACCGTCCCCAAACTCAAGACCTCTGCAGATGCAACATGCTAAAACGCGACCTCTTTCAGACTTTCAGCATGCTCCACCGCGTAGAGTACTATCGTCCCTTCTCGGCAAGAGGATGCCTTGAGGCCTTGGGTCTTGGAAACCTGTATTCAACTTGCCATTTTGCAGAGGCTTGGGATATCCTCCAGCCCAATAGCAACAATAACAAACAGGCTTCCGCAGCAGCCGCAGCATTCCGAGAACAGGTTGGGCAAAGCAGTGTTTTCCAGGACACCGGGCACATACATTGGCATACCAACATGCTGAAGGCCACTGGACAGCAGCATGCCATGCACACGCACCTGCCTCGGACATCCCGTCGGCATACTCACCATCTCCTGCAGAAGGCAGCGCACATATCTAGTGAATCTACGTAGGGCCAAGTTGCGCAGTGATTTCTGCCTGCGACTTAGGCTATACTATGTCATCAAATCCTTCAACTCAATCGAGCAGCACTCGCGATTATACTACTTTCCATATTGGGGAGCCTGTCTCTCCAACGTTTATTGAATTTTGACATACCGTCGGAAGGGTAGTGGGCATCGACTAGTGTCGTCAGTATGAAGGTGTGCTTGAAAGCATCACCATCTCGAGTCCTGTCAGAAACGACGCGTGCACCAGCTCGCGGACAAAATCCACAGGGTTCCTTCGCGGGTCCTCGGGAAAACACAAGAAGAGCCTTTCCGGAGATGCAGGCGTCAAGGTAAGTTTCCCGCAGGTAGGCCCTTCCCCTTGAATTCTGCATCGGCTGCAGCAACCTGAGCAGGTCAAGCAAAAACCTTTCCTTGCCAAGTGAGGGAGCCGAGTTCAGCCAGTTGGATCCCAAGTGCAGCTCACAACAAGCCGATCATGCATCTGGCCACTTTCTGCTCTCATGGTGCTGTCGCGCTCGTGAGACTTGCGGCGAGGCATGCCTGCAAGTCAGTGTCCGTTACCTCGGCAAACCTGCAAAGAGAATCGCGAACCTCAGGGAAGGGAAGCAGACACGAACTGTCATGACACTTGCACAATCTCGCACTGGTCCAAACCCTCCCACCTCTCCCACCACCCCTCCCATGGCAGAAATGCCCTGCAAGTGCATCCCGGCCTTAGCCAACCTGGGCTCCGACCAGATCGACTGATTAGAAAGGGGCTTGCCACCCTCTAACTCCAACCTCTCCAGTAGCAAGCCCAACTCATCAAAGGCAGCCAGCTTCTCAAGACCGCCAATCGTTCGTTCGACGATTTTCCACCATTCCTGCCAGCTCCATCCCACGCGAGCCCAGCCCCAATCGGAGTCCGGGCTCTTGGGATAGATGCTAAAGAGCATCTGCCGCAACACCCCTCTGGCATCCTGACCTCCGGCCATCGCTGTTTCGACCGCCTCCTCCACGGCCCGCGTCTTCACACGATGGCCCTTGATGAGCTCGGCAAGGACGGCACCGAGGCCACCCACGGGGGGCTCGTTGAGGCAGAAGGCAATGATCTCCGTAAGAACTCTCGACTGGCTATCCACGGGAACATTCATCTTAGCCCAAAACTCGATCCAATCTTTGGGTTTCTGTGCAGCCTGCTCCACAACCAGAATCGTCAGGCATCGACTCAACAGTTCGTTTTGAACTTGCCCGTCTTCTGACACAATTCTTTTCTCCTGTACCTCACCCATAAGCGCATAGAGAGGATCAGTGCTTGAGAAGGTTTGCCATGAAGATGCTTTTCGAAGCGCTTTTCGATCAGCAGAGTCTTCCTCTGCATCAGCAGGGGATGCAGAGCGCTTCATGGCATGGGTCATCAGTCCGGCTCTGGCAATGTTTATCGTGAGGCTTGTTGGCTTGGTCTCGTGTTGCCTGCAAAGCGTCTCTTGTTGCGTCACATGAGTGGAAGCTAAAGGCACCTCATCTGAGAGGCTGCGGTCTCTGCGATCGCAAAGCCAAGCAGTTGCTGACAAGCAGCCAGGAGCTCCCTGGAGGCTCCATGCAGCGGCACCTGTGCTCTCAGACTCTCAGCACAGCTGGTGCTCCGAATCCACTGATGTAACAGTTCTTGCCCACGCACCGTCAAAGCTGCGCTGCTCCCCTGCAGGTGTCTCTGCACTGCCTCAGCTTCGCTGTATGCAGCATGATGCAGCACGCATATGTAGCATCAACAGCCCTAGACTCGTTGGGCATTACCAGACAAGAATGCACCAGAAAAGATGCTGGCAAGCATCTGCCACACACGAGGCGGCTAGCTTGAGCAAGGGCATGACAGCCTCGCCGAAGTGAAACCACGGTTTCTGTGAGGCCTAGTCTTGCTGCGCAGGGCACGGAGAGACCGAACCCCATTGTCTGATGTGGATCAAAGTGCTTCTTCAAAATCCCGTGCTCACTTGCTCACTTATGCAAACGCGTCAAAACCCATGAGCCTCCCTGCTCAGCCGAGCCGAAGCCAAGCCATGCGCTCGGAAGCCTGAGGCCACCAGATGCCATCAGACTGCCGCGGCATCAAGAGAAACCAGTCTTTGAGACAGAAGAGTTCTCATTGAGTCCGACGTCTGGAACCTGGACACCAAGGGCTGTGGTACTTTCGTATTTTCCCAGACACAGAGCGGGTTAACATCTTCGACTATAATCGCCCTCTTTCCAGTCCTGCTGTGCTCCTTTGGAGACGCACGATTCATCTTCCGTTCCCATCATACTTTCGCACCCTTACTGTTCTTCAATTAATTTGATGACTCGTGCTCCTACCACAGAGCCTTGCCTATTTTTGTGCTGGTGGACCTGCGCCACAGTCCCATGTTCTCTTTTGGCCTTCGAACCGCTCTTGGCGTGGTCTCGAAAGTCTTACTGTAAGGGCTAAGGAATTTCGCGAAATGCGACATATTGAAATCGTGCTACCACCTCCTTGCCGTGCGTATCCCTACGTATTTGGGGTGCACATCATCTTCTGGCACCGCATCGTGCCTGTCCTCGCATCGCGAAATCGGGCTTCCGCCCCAGTGCAGTGCACGTTTTGCGGCTGGTGTCGCCCCTCCCAAACTTGTGTTCCCGCCTCAGTCCTGCACATATAACGGGCATGTTTTGGGGTGCAATCATGCTCCCACCGCGGTGTGGTGTGCATTTTGGCCTCATGAGGCCTCAGGGGATGGGGTCGGCGCTGCATATTTTCAATCTTGATTCAGTGAGGTGCCGACTGTGCCAGTGGCGGTTGAAATTCAGGCTTGGTTTGAGGTGGACCGACTTTGAAGGTGGGCCTGCACTTCCCGAGAGGTCTGCCTGATCCTGGCCTTACAGGGTCCCCCTCACCATCCTCACCCTGCCACAAACTCGTCGATGCTTGTGCTTGTCAACAGCGAGTCGGTCAGTGTTCGGTCTCAGGCAATGCTGCTGTCTTCAGTGTTGTACTGACCATTTCCGGGGAGGGGGGGCGGCCTCACCGTGGCGGCCTTCTTGGCAATAAGGTGGGGGTCCCCCCCTCGCAGACCCCTAGATCATGGACCCCTGTGTGTTTAGGAGCTAGGACGAAAGCCAAGTCTATCAACAACTCCCGCAAGCTCCAAAGGAGCTACGACTTCCCTTTCGCGATATCTTGACGTGGTCAGATGCCAAAGGGCAAGAAAAGCCCAAGTTCACGGGATTTGTGGCTTCTCGGTGCTCCCTTTACATTGCATGAAGCTTGCCAGACCCAGAATGAATCTCAAGTTTTAAACAAGGCGGCTTGGCACAGCGTCTTGAGTCAGAGACACAATGGCACCACCCGGGCTTCGCACGTGGTGCATCCCAGACCTCTGACCATATGGACAGAAGTTCCTTAGCAAGCTTCGGGGTAGTAGAGGAGCAGAGGAGTAGGAGACGGAACAGAGCCAGACACCCAAGCTTCTGGTGGCATCGGAACGCCTCCAACCTCAGACTCCGACCGAGAGAGGCCGGCAATGGCCGGCACGTCTCACGAGTCTCACATCTCTTCGAGGTCTCTAAGGCCTGCGCAGGCTCCAGGTGCTCCAGGTCCATGTCCATGTCCTCATCGCTGCATCAAATCGTCACTGCTGAAAGCTGGGACTGTGTAAAACGCAGCTGAGCCACGTCCCTGCCAGGTAGGTCTGCAAAGAGACTACGGTACTGCAACGGCTGACAGGAGCATGCCAAGAACATCCGAAGATTCATTGCGTGGAGGACAAGCTTTTTGAGAAGGCCGCGGTGGCACCACTACATGTTTGTGGCGCTTTTACTTCATTGGGTTTGAATTTCTTTCGCGTCTTCTGTTGACGCTGATCGCATGTGACGACAGAAGCTTCGTCGTCAGGCTTTGGCGGCGCGTCCTCCTGGCTTCAAAGTTCCGTCGACTCTGAACATCTCAAAACCGGCGGTGGAAAATGCACCTGCTCTCCTGTGAGCTTCAAGCACAAGAGTATGTACCTGCAGCGGCACAGCGGGGGCTGCTTCACTTGCAGAACTGCCGTTAAGCTCGCATGACAGTGCACTGCATGCAGAACCAAGTCGCTCAAGCTCGCAAGCTGCTTCCAAACCGTCGCAGCCTCCGTGCTTGCGCGAGCACTCACTGCCTTTCTCTGCAACGACAGGTGCCACATCCCAACTCACGCCTGCGAAAGAGTGCTCCTGGACCCTGAAGTACTTCCCAGCCTCGATGTCTCCAGAATCAGGCTGAGGGGCTGGGGAGACTACGAGCCTCCACCAAAAGCAGAGCATGCGCATCGGGATCACGCCTCAGGAGCAGCAAATGCGCATAAACTGATTCTACACGGCGTTCTCGCGCCTTTGCAGGCACAGCCAGCATGTGGCACGCGAGGATCCCTGCAGAAGAAGTCATCCGACGAGGCTCAACAGCACGCCACAGCCCCCCGCAGCCTTCAGAAGTGTTCGGATCGTCAGGATGAGCGGCCTTCGCAATCTTCCATCACTCGGAAGCTTGGCTGCTGATGAGGATCGGACTGGACAAGTCGACTGGCAAAGACAATGTCCGAGCCAACAACCAGGTCGAAGGATCCTGCCAGATTTTGATCGCTTGGAGCGTGCCCGATGCCCTCTCAGCCCCGCAGTGCCCCGCAGCCCCTCTCCTTTGCTCCTCACGGCTGTCATGTTCGCTTCGCTGCCCCAATCGAGTTCCAAAGCCTCTGCTCGGTGCCACATGACTCGGCATGTGCGATGCCACCGTGATGTGCGACTTGAAAAATGAGGGCTGCTTCTGGAGCCCTGGAGCCTGCGCAGGCACGAAGTCACCTCCTTGCAAGCTCTTGTTCGCAGCCTGGCTACTGGTCCACAGTCGACTGAGCGAAAACAGCATACAATCTTCTTCTTGCAGCCTCCACATTCCGCACCAGGTTTTCCATGGCAACATGCTGCTCTGTAAGGATGACCTTTCCATGAGTAAGCATCGCTCTGCCATGGGAGGTGCCTCTAAGGAACCTGCCTCACATCCAAGACGAGACAATCCGAGACCAAGCAAACCGCATCCGGCTCCAAGCCTCACACACACCATCAGGTTGCGCAAGTGCCTCCATGCGCTTCTAAACTTCTCTGCATGCGTGACGGCAGATGGACTTAGCTTAGTCAGTTCAGAGTCAAATAAGAACCAACTACTGGAAAAGGCACAAGCATCTTTCGATATGATTTTGGATGATCCAGCTCAGTACCCAGCTCAACAACACGAAGTGGTCGTCGTTCGCTTTGCCGCATGCCTTTCGACTTCAGCGAAGCTGAGACTTCATGGTTGGCATGAGATCAAGATTTGGACATGGCACATGGGCCAGTAAACTCCGAACCCGCTGCGGACGTCTGCTTGCGTGGGCATACGTGTAGGCATGTGCGGCTATATGTAGCTGGTGCAACTGCCAGTAGGTTCTTGTTGGACCTGCGTTTCGTGCATAATGAGTAGCAGGTTCGGCACTGGGTCCAGACCCTCGAATTAAATCAAACACTCCTGCTTGTCCAAGCCCCAGCACCTGGGATGATGGCTTGCTGCAAATAGCGCAAGAGGAAGAAGGCTGTTTCCCACACCTCGCATGCCGAGAGACGGCCGAGCCCGAAGCCTCTTCAACCTGCACCCGAAGAGAAACAAACCAAACATTTCTTGAGACTCGCTAAGCCTCCTGCGACTCCACCGCTGTGCTCCTGAGTGGATCGGTCCTGGGCAACCTCGTCACGACAGTGCCAAGCAGACCGTGACAACTTTCGTGTCGCTTCACCGGAGATGCATGCAATTCCGCAAACGTGACAGCTTTCAAAAGTGAAACATGAGCCTCTACAAATGATCCGCCCACTGCAACTCGTATTGCGGGGCGGCTGGCAAGCCTTGTCCACAAGACAGCAGTGTCAATGGCCTCACTCATCCCCTGTTCACGGAGTACTCAGATCTCAACTCGAAGAGCTTGTCGCAGTGCTCGCCTCTGCCTGTAAGGGCCGCCTGCAATGCCACATCATGCCGCAATCCCTGCCCAATGCTAAATCGGAGCAGTGCTCGTGGCATGCACGAGTGCGAGCGTTGCGTACAACGCTTGGACTGTGTAAAACCGCGGGAAGCTGTACATGAGTTTTGCCTCAATGTCTGCCGATGGACCGACGCGCTCGGCCCGCTTCAAGGTCTTCTTGCCTACACAGAGCAAGAATTGAACGAGGCTGTCTCGTTTGAAGCTAAGCAGAACTGCCAGTGGTGGCCTTCTGACACCGGCGGTACATCGCCGCTTGCTTGCGAGGCCTGCAGCTCATCTGTGGTTAGTGTCAGCACCTCATGAGCAATGAAGCTCTCCTGGCATCAAACATGCCCAAAGTTGCCTTTCCACTGGCAGCTCGCTGCCGCTGCTTCTTCCTTGCCCCTTGCCGTGGCATCCCTTACCATGTCTTACGATTCACTTTGGAACTCGGCAACTTCGGGATGTCTACTGTGGCTTTGCGGCATGGAAAGTAACTGACCTATGATTAGATTGAAAGCATGCTCCGGCGACTGCTTGCTCCGTATCAGAGCAGATGACACGGGCAGCACTTACAGATCGAAGCTAACAAAGTAAGGGTGTGAAATATGAACAAAGGTTCTGGAAATTGCTTCCGGTCTACAGTTTCAAGCATCTGAACACTCAGTAACGATCACGGTTGCCAGATGTGTTATTCCTGTTGGAAGCGGTCGACATGTTTTCCCGAAATAGCCAGACGCCTAAGAGCGTGAGCTCGCTGAAAATACTAGTCATGAGCCAGGAGCTGGTGACTCATGTCAGTCATCCATCGTCCATACTGAGAGATATCAAGCACGATGGAGCACCAAGTTCTCACGAGTTCAGCGAAGTGCACGTCCGGAACTCATTTTGGTCTGCTGGCCATCCGCATCAGAGTCAGACACCATTTCGGGTGAAGCATCTGAGTCGACACCTAGGCACTTGGTTCACTGGGACTGTCAACTGCCAACCGCCGAAACTGACCCGAAGTCGAAGAAATGAGGCAGTGGCCCACGCATCTGTTCGGCCCCGCAGCAATGACAGCTGCCCGTCTTGCGGCAGCCGTGCGTTTGACAACTGGCCTTTTCAGCGCTCCTGCACCAAACACATCCATCTTGGGCGCGCAAGGCTGTGGAGTATGCGGGGCGAGTGGGGTGGCTGGTGGGTTTTGGTGGGGTGGGTGGGGTGGGGTGCGTGGGGGGGTCGCTGCAACTGCAACCCCACCTGCTGCCCGGACACCACGAGCAGGAGCACGACGAGGTTTGTTCACAGGTCCTGCCAGCATTGCAGGAATCTGCCGCGGCGACCTCGAAGTTCGGGCAGGTCCTATTGCAGGAGCTTTGCGCCACTTTTGTCTTCTGGCGCGCACCTGAGGCAGCGAGGGCAACGCTGCTGGAACAACGGTCCATCCGAAGTGGACATCTATGGAACAGCACTGGCAGATCGCCGTCTGGGAAAATGGCAGCCAGCTTGCTGTGCTCTCCTGGCATGTCAAACGTCTCCGGCCAAATGGGACACATCGAGTGTATTTAGCCCAGACTCGAAGCAGAGAAAGAAATCACAGTCGATAACCCGACAGAGACTGTACGCAACGCCTGGTCAGTTGAATATGAGTGTTCGCCCGAAGCGTGACGATAAGGAAACGGACAATGACTCACCTGATTCATCGGATATCGAGCACGAGAAATCGCATCACGGCATGACGGCTTATGGCAGAGGCTTGGCAACTAGACCAGACGTTCAACTTCTACAGCAGCTGCACCACACACAATAAAACGACTGGAATTTCGGCACGCTTGAAAATACAGCTCGATGCTAGCACCGGTATGACGACATCGTCGAATCGCGTCAAGTCGAAACTGGACAGAATATGCACGGCAGAGGCACGAAGAAGTCAGGGTGTCAGTACGACAGGCCACCACCCAAAGGCTTGCTCTTTGAAGGCCTTGCTTCTGAGATTCCAAGCGCTTCTGTCGGCGGCGCGCCTAGCAACTTGACCACATGTCAGCAGCTGTCAGCATGCACACTATCCATGCTCGCCCAAGCAATTAGCACACCCTATTCCACCCCACCCGACCCTACCTCATCCGGTCGAAGGAAAGCAAAGCATGCCGTGCATGTGCGTGCTACATACACATCGGGAAAGCTTGTCAGAAGAAGCCTTTGCAGCTTCGGCTTTGTCAGCCTGCCATGGGCCATGGCAGACACCAACGTCACGGAGCCGCCATGAAGCTGCACAGCCCAAGCCTGTCGTCTTGGAGGGGGCGGCGGAGGGGGCTCCGGAGAGGGCGATGGGTCACCTCGGCAGCGGCTGTGTTAACGAACATGGTCTTCGCAGACTTCCGCTTCCAGACGGAAGCTTCAGGCATCCGAGCTCTACCTTCAATCTGAGCCAGGACCATTCCCTCGAGGGTGTCGTGTGCTTGTACTTAGGCTCTGGTGCGTGCTGTGAGGTTAGATCGCAACATCTTGGTACATCTTCTCAGAACGGAACGCTGGGGCACTGGGTCGCCCAAACGCCAGCTTCCATCAGGTAGGACCAAGACCTGTCAAGGTGCGGACAGTCTTGCACCGTAGCTGTGCAGACTTGGAGAGGGATTGCGAAGGTAAGATAAGCCCTCGCGTCCTAGAGCAACCCCAAAGCCGTGTCCTCTTCGGTCTCCTCGGCGGTCTGATCAAGCAGCATCTGAACGAAGGAGTCGACTATCAAGTCGCGTGGCCTGCGGATCGGGCCGCAGCTTGCATGCAGATGCGCATCGACCGTGCCGGCCTGAGCTCGAAGCTGCAGGTTGGGCAGCGCCAGCGGCTGTTGAAGGCCTTCATCCGATAGTTTGAGATGAGGTAGGCATCCAAGTCCAGGCACCTCGAGCCAGGAGTCCCACAGAACAAAGCAGCAGAAACGGAAGAAGCTCAGGAAGTTGCTGCAAATGACGGCAGCCTTTGCCTGCAGGCACCCGAATTTGAATGCATGGTTCGTCGAGACTGAAAACGACTTAGGACTGATGGCACCAAGCCGGAGCACACCCAATCGACCAAACTCTCTCACGCCTGACGGACCGACATGGACCATGGACCGACGACGATTTGACGTTGCTTTCGAGATGTTGGTGAACAAAAGACGGTCCCCAGTAATATCACTGTTACAGGCAGAGACGCTGCACAGCATGCTACCTGGGCAGGAATCTGGCCTCTGACTGGCAGTGTTGTCGGGCGCATCAACGTGATGGGACACCTGAACGCTGCACCACAGCTGCACGAAGACAAATCGCAACGGCTCCGCCACAGGTGGGTCTGGCCGCACGAATCAGATCTGCACACACCATAGAAGGCTGTAGGCATCGCAGAGCAACATAGGTACGGGAGTGGTCGGGCAAGCAACAACCGAGCTGTAATATGGCCAGATTGCCGGATCCGCCGGCAAGCAGCTAAGCCACCCAGGGTGACGCGCGATGGGGGCACGACCAGCCATCTGAGGAATCTGAACACACCACCACGTCACATCCAGACCCCTTCAGTCTGGACAAGCTCTTGGCTGAGTCTTCCGACAAGTCCGGACTACTTGTGCAGACTCCTTTCGTCACCTCCGGAGACCCCACGCCAGTAGCAAACAAGCGGTGAGTCATGCAAGAATGCCCAGCTTGCAGACTTCAGCAGCCGCTTTGCGCTGGTAGCAAAGCTCCAGTCTGGGAGTGTTTGTCTTGTTTCTGTTTCAGGGATCATCTAGACCATGCAGACGAAAATAGGCAGACCATCACAGGCAAAACGGTGTCTTGGCAAAGCTTCGACTGGGCTACCATGTCAATGTGCCGCCCAGAAGCAGGAGCTTCAGATGCTCATCACCTACGCATTCCACCTGGGCCACCACTCCTAAATCTCGGAAGAGGGCAGTGTCATCGAATCTGCCATGCCGGCAACACCCCGTCGCCATCCGACGGCGCGGTCGACGGTGTGGGTCTTCGAAGCCCATCTGGGAGGCAGGCGCATAAACAGCAGAGTGCGAGGCCCACACGGTGAATGGGCCGTGTAGACAGTTAAGATTCGGAGACTAATCGTTTCGACCCACTATTATTCGTCCCTTGCAGCAAAGGCGATGTCATGCGGCCCAGCCTGAGCCATCTGAGAATGTTCGTGAGCTGACCAGGATCTGCTGGACGCGTTCCAGGCATTCCTCCAGCACCCAGGAAGAAGGTCAGTGCCTCAGGAGCTCGGCGTGTCTCCTTGTACTCGGCCGTCTGAACTCCCTCTGCGAGGTCTTGAGGCTTCAGGGGGAGGGTCCTCCCGACAGAAATGCATCATGCGAATCAGGGAACAAAGATCAACAGCAGGTCCTAACCACAGCGAGTAGATAATCACGCCTCACGGCTTTGCAAAGCTCGTCGCCACTACTAACTAGAATGGAAAAATGTCTGCCTCCTTTCGTCCTCTGCCGTCACTTCGACGGAATTTGTGCCCCGCCGCAAGCTTGCCTGCCAACATCTCGGCAAGTCTTCGAAATTCGCCCATGCTCTGGCCAGACCAAGGCGCCGGCAGAAATGCTTTGTGGAACGTCCCGCCGCTTGTGCCTGGCAAAGATGCTTGCAGGGTGCCATCACATGCCCCCATTCTATCCCCCGCGCCCTCTGAGCGGCACTTTCGTGGCAAAAACCTGCGGCTTCTCGATTCCGGGCGCAGGGCGCAGGGCTCTCTTGAAGTGCTTCAGAGCAGCGGCAACGGCGCCTCCTTGCCGTTCACCCAAAGGCTCAGGAAGCTGGGCCAGGCCTGCAGAGGCAGAGCCACGCCAAGCCCTCAAGCCCAAGCCCTCAAGCCCCAAAGCTGCAACTGCCGGCTGCTAGGGCGGCGCGCACTCGCCCAGGCCTGCTGCAAAGCCTGGGGCTCGGAGGAAGCGCGCCTTCTGTCAGGGTCTGCGTTGCATCGTCATGCAACCAGAACATGATGTGCTTCGTCTTTCCGCCACTGTCACATCACTGGGCCTGCGAAGACCTCGCAGCTCCACCTTCACAGAAGTGTGGCTGCACATTGCAAGCATCTGCCAGCGTGCCCTTCTTGTAAGAAAGGTCTTTGCGACCCTGACCCTGGCTCGCTTTGGGCAGTGCCCAGCCGTGCAAGCAGCTCAACTGCGACGAAGGACCGATGAGACGGTCACCGAAAGACGGCGCATGACGGCGCGAGTGAGAAATGCCGCGGACGACGGAATGGCAAGCCCAGATTGCCAGCCTCGAAGCCTTGCTTTCTCCACAACCGAAGATCTGGAACCTGGCATTGGACATTGACTCATGCCATGTTTCCTTGACTCCGGCCGCCCGGTTTGTTTTGGGGTCAAGGCTTGCAGCTGCGCCTCAGGATCTGCAGTCGGGGCTGTTTGGGCGGGAGGTTTTGGGTATGTGGATTAGGTTGGGACTT